GAAAGTTTGTTCTGATTATTGACAAAAAACAAGATAGTTGTTGAATTACATATTTTTTAATTTATGAGAAATGCCAAGTTCATCTAGCCCCTCAGTTCTGCAAAAAAAATGCGGTCATTAGAATGCAACTCTAATCTATTGGACTCAGTTTTTCCCTCACAATTCCAAAATGAATAAAAATTCAAAACAAGTACTATTAACAAACAATACTCTTTTCGACGCGCGTTTCACCAACTGAGTTGACGTTTTCAGGAAATGAATTACACTAATTATCGTACATTTTGGCACATTTTCATCTATACACTTTTTTGAACCAATGTCTGGACTGAAAATTTTCCGCAATTATTTTTTACGAAATTGTCTGTAGATTGCATTTCTTTAAAGAAATTCATAATAAGGGAAATTATTTATTATTTCTATTCTAATAATCACTTCACTTCGTAACTTTGGAATGCTTTCTTAGCGTGTTTGTTTTTTTTTTGATGTCCCCAACTTGGTTAATGAAACACGCGTCAAAAACAGTGTTACAGTTCCGTTCCAGTGTTTGAAAGTAATACCAGTTGTGAGTTGTTGTCATTTCTCAACTGACCGTTCCAAGTACTGTTCGCAAACAATGGCTTTTTCAAGAAATTAAGTAAGGTAATGTGGGGATAACTGGACATACATGTTAACTGAACAGCTCACAATATTAGCCATCTCTTGACAGACAGCAGAATTTACTTTCTTACTATTTGATCAAGTATACAGGTCCCTTCTTCTCACTATGAAAATATTCTTATAAAACTGTCATTGAGAAGCTCATTTCAAGTTGGGGTTTTTTGGGCTGACATAGTGAAATCCGAATTTCGAGTTGTTTTCGTTTTATCGCCACAATCTTTATATTTTATAGGATTATTTTTTTGGGCAACCTAAAGACGTAAGTATCTACTTTTCTTTTGTATGTGTAGTTGTTTTTTCTAATTGAAATAGATATGGTAATTTTTGCATTTAGCGAAGTAACAATATGTGAGGTTAACTGAACAGTACTAATGTGGGGTTATGTGAACCATGTCCAGTTAACCTGCACTTACTTTACTCGGACCCTATAACTTTGATTGTTCTTCTTTTCAGAAGAATTCATGCACAATGCCACGAATTAGAAAGCGCACTACTAATCAGAGGTCTTACTCGGAAAAACAGCTAAAACACGCTGTTAGAGTAGTTTTAGAAGAAGGGTGTTCTGTGAGAAGCGCTTCGACTCAATTTGAAATACCACGAATAACTTTAAAACGATTTGTTGATAAAAGCAGAAATGTTGATTTAAATTCAGTAAACTTTCGGCCGAAAAATGAATATTTATTAGTTTTTACACATGCAGAAGAAATCATGCTTAGAGATTACATTTTACGTGCCTCTGACATTCACCACGGTTTGAGTAGTAAACAAGTACAAGTTCGTATTCTGTCTTATGAGTTCGCAGTGGCAAACAATAAACGTTTTGGTGAAAGTTGGTCGGAAAAGGGCATGGCTGGTAAAGAATGGCTGTTTGGATTTCGTCAAAGGTACAAGCTCACATTACGAACTCCTGAACAAATCAGTTTGAGCAGGGCAACTAGTTTTAATAAAACGAATATTGAAGCTTTTTTTAAAAATTTGCGAGAGCTTAGAACTAAATATAACTTGGAGGCACACGATATTTATAATCTAGATGAGACAGCTGGTACTACTGTTCGTTAACCTCCAAAGATATTAACCAAGAAGGGTAACAAGAATGTCGGCCAAGTAACTTTAGCGGAGCGAGGAACTCTAGTTACTCTGGTGGGTATTATTGGAGCTACTGGAAAATTCGTTCCTCTATTCCTCATTTTTCCACGGGTTCATTTCAAGGAACACATGCTACATGGTGCCCCTCCAGGAAGCAAAGGTGTTGCAACACTTACAGGCTGGATAACTAGCTCGTTGTTTTTACCACTTTTACAACATTTTGCAGAACATGAGAGGCCTACTAGAGAGAAACCCAAACTTATTCTCCTAGATAATCACGAGAGTCACTTAAGCATTGTGGCACTTGATTTTGCCAAAGAAAACGGCATTCTAATGTTAACGCTATCTTCCCATTGCAGCCATAAAATACAGCCTTTGGACGTCAGTGTTTTTGGACCTTTTAAGAAATTTCATAACTCTGCTTGTGATAAATGGATGGTGAATCATCCTGGTAGGCCTATCACCATACATGATGTAGCAGGTTTAGTTGGAGAAGCGTTTCCTCAAGCGTTCACACCAAAAAATATTTGTAGTGGTTTTAAAGCCACTGGTATAGAACCGTTTGATGATCAGATATTTTCTGATATTGACTTTGCATCTTCTTATGTTACTGATAGATCGGATCCAGTCAATCAGCCTCAAAATTTAGACCCGGTGCAAGAAAAAATTGGCAAATTTCAGAAAACCGTTTCCCAGATCAACCAAAAACTCGAAATGTTTCAAATGGTACACCGACGGACAACCGTCAACTGCAAGATCAACAGTATTTTCATCTTAATTTGCTTCAAAACTGCGAGGCTGGACCATCAAAATGTATTACCCCCGAAGAAATACGCCCTTATCCCAAAGCTGCACCACGGAAAACAAACACATCTGCAAGCAAAAAAAGACGATCAATGATTTTAACTGATACTCCCGTTAAAAAAGAACTGGAAGAGGAAGCGCGAACTCGCGAAGACAAAAAGAAAAAACGTGCCTCAGCTACGATAAAACGAAACAACATCAAGAAAAAAGTCTTGGAATCTAGTTCATCATCTGATGAGGAAATCATAGAATTTGACGAATCATCTGATTCTCTTGAAGATTTCAACGGACTTGAAGAAGAAAATGAGCCCAAAGTAGGTGATTGTTGTATTGTTATTATATATGGAAAAACAATGTCAACTTTTCGACACTATGTTGCAAAAATCATTGAAGAAAGCCCAGATTGGTATGAAATGGTTTTTTTCAAACGACATAATGCAACACATAAATTTTCCGAAACTGAAGAACATAATTATGTTCCAAAGAAGGATGTTGTTCATTACCATCACCAGTAAAAAACAGTACAGCAAGATATGCCAATACCTGGACCTTTAATATCGATTTGGCTGAATTTGACTTGACTCTTCATTAATATTGAAAACAAATATGTCTGTTCTGTTATTTTGGAATATTCATGTATTGAAATAAAATAATTCAATTCGTATTTATTTTTCATTTTGTTTTCTACCTTTTTCTCACTTGTGACCACTTAACCTACCCTTGGTGTTCACTTTACCTATACGACAGGTTAAGTGAACAAGTGGACATATAAACAAAAATTTGCAGAAGTTTAAATAGGATATTTTCGCATATTTTGTTCAAAGTGTCCAGTTAACCCCTACTTACCCTACACTATTTAACGTATATCTTGGCAACTTTTCATCTATGCATTAATTTGATACGCTACTATGGAATTTTATATTGATAACCCAATCTACGATCTCCACATTTTCCTAACAATTTTTATCAAATTTGCGACTCTTCGAGTTCCCATAGTAGCCAATTACACCTCTCATTATGAAAATATCTTATAAGAATAAACAATTTCAGTAATACATACTATTTTGGGCTTACTTTGACGAATTCCGTTAACAGAAACACATATTTCAACAGATGTTTTTCAATAATATAAAAATTTTGAAAGTTTGATATGTGAATTTCGTCAATGTTGCTGATTGACTTCTAAAATATTCGATGTAGTACAAAGCGTTCTCTACTATCGGTTTATTGCTATTTTGCCACAATCCATTTTTTTTAATGGTTTGCCATGTATGATCCATTTTCAAGGAGATGCTCACTCCTTGAGAATATCTGAGAATATATGCTTACTTGAAAAAAATATGGATAGGAGCGAAATAGCTGATACCAGAGAACATCTTGTATTACAAAGTGACTTGGCACATTTGATTCCACGAAGAGCGGTACATATCAGAAATACGCGACGGACTGTGACTGCTCATCGTTTTGAGGTTCAACGCAGTACACTTCGAACTTCACTGTTTAAGAACTCTCTCATTTAGAGAACTGCTTCTGTGCTGAATGCATTTCCTGAGGACGTTATTACAGACGGCGTTATTGAGGCGAGCGCCTCAATAATTTTCCTATAGTGTTTGTCTTTTGTCCTTAGAAAAAATGCGTTGCCAGTTTTTAGTATAGCTTGTCAAATGTAGGAAGAGCATTCTGAATTCCGTTATGGCCTCGCCCACTAGATCTGCGTTCATTCGAAGTGAGAGAGAGAGAAAGATTCCTCAAGCCTCTTTCTAGATTTGACAAGCTGTATGATACTTTACTTCTATTGATGATGGGAATGATGACAATGAGAAATAAAAAAAGATGAGTGGTGTTGAATGCACATTGAAAAGCGTCCATCCATCAATTACTTGTGGCACGAAAGGAAGTGGGGTGAAAATGATCAGGAAATATTACACGGTGGAGGGGGTACAGCAGAATAATCACGTGTAGTTTTTTTCTAAGACAGTTGTATGAAGTTGCCTTTATTTATGAATAAAATATACAGGGGAATTTAAATGTACTTGTTTAAAATAATGAACCATTATAGTACTAATGTCACGGAATTTCTCTTACCGTTTCAGGTATCTCTGACCCCATTCTGTAAGCCTCTCATGAACTTATATCTCTTTTGAATAATTAATAGTGAATTAATAATTTGTTTTCTGTAATTTTACTCCTGAACAGGGGAGTTAAAACTATTGTCTAGTTTTGTGTCTAATCATTGGAAATGGATGTTTGAATTATACTATGATGCAAATCATATATTGAGAAAACAAGACAAATTTCACGAACTCTGAACCGATTCGAGCGAGAACTTTGAATAAATTCTGTATAAATAATAATGTTGAGCAACTAGTAAAATCCCGTTGATACAGCCACTTAGCCTTGGCCGAAAGCTAGTGAAATAACCTAGGTTTCGTTGAAGAAAGGAAAATGCAAAATTGAACTGAAATGAATATAATTTTAACAAAATACTGTACGGACTATATAGTGTCCAATTACATCAATCTAATCAACTTCTTGAACTAATACAGACCTCAATGAACGGTAGTATGACTCATTTTATGAACTATAAGAGTACTATTTCGAGTGAAAGATTTTGAACAGATCGTACATTGAAATGGTTTTTCTCCTTAATGACTCCTTCCGTGAACTTTCAAACTCCTAGTATTAGTAAAAGATTTCAAACATACTTCACATTGAAATGGTTTCTCTCCTGTATGACTTCGTTCGTGAACTCTCAAATGATGTATTCTAGCGAAAGACTTTGAACAGACTGTACACCCAAATGGTTTCTCTCCTGTATGAGTCCTTTCATGAACTTTCAAATAAGTTTTATCAGCGAAAGATTTTGAACAGATCGTGCATTGAAATGGTTTCTCTCCAGTATGACTCCTTCCGTGAACTTTCAAACTCCTAGTATCAGTAAAAGATTTCAAACATACTTCACACTGAAATGGTTTCTCTCCTGTATGACTTCGTTCGTGAACTCTCAAATGATGTATTCTAGCGAAATACTTTGAACAGACTGTACACCCAAATGGTTTCTCTCCTGTATGAGTCCTTTCGTGAAATTTCAAATAAGTTTTATCAGCGAAAGATTTTGAACAGATCGTGCATTGAAATGGTTTCTCTCCAGAATGACTCCTTTCGTGAACTTTCAAACTACTAGTATTAGTAAACGATTTCAAACATACTCCACACTGAAATGGTTTCTCTTCTGTATGACTTCGTTCGTGAGCTCTCAAATGATGTATTCGAGCGAAATACTTTGAACAGACTGTACACCCAAATGGTTTCTCTCCTGTATGAGTCCTTTCGTGAACTTTCAAATTACCAGTATTAGTGAAAGTTTTCAAACATATTTTGCACTGAAATGGTCTTTCTCCAGTATGAGTTCGCATATGATTTTTCAATGTATTATGATGCGTGAAAGATTTTGAACATATCGTACACTGAAACGGTTTTTCTCCAGTATGGCTTCTTTCGTGAACCTTCAAATTATCATTTTCAGTGAAAAGTTTCAAACATACTTTACACTGATATGGTTTTTTTTCAGAATGACTTCGCTCGTGACGTCTCAAACTACTAGTATGAGCGAAAACTTTCAAACAGATTAGACACTTGAATGAATTCTCTACAACATGGTGTTCCAAATAGTCATTTCGATTGAAATATTTTGAACTGTCTGGCTCGTGAACGTCGAAAACATCACTTTGCAGCAACTTAACATCTGGAGTCATGTCGTCATTGAGAATATAGCCGGTCACGTTATTCTCATCCACGATCTTTGTTTTAATATCTTCGTAGACGAAGTCCATTTCATCATCTCGTTCAATTTTTATCCGTTCATCAATAATGTCCATATCATCGTGGTAATCCATAGATAACGGATCAGCAACTTGCAGCAACTTGACATCATGAGTCATTTCGTTGGTTAGGTTATTCTCATCCACGATCTCCGTTTTGATATCTTCGTAGTTGAGGTCAATTCCATCCTCACGTTCAATTTTGATATGTTCATCAACGTTGTCCATATCATTTTCCATAGAATACGCAGCATTAGAAGCTTTATCGGATTTACTGAAAGTTTCAAACTCTTTTGATTCAACTTTAACTAAAATGAATTCAGGAGTGACTTTATCAGAAACAGCATCATTGCTTTTCCCAACTGACATTCCATATTCAATGTTATCCATTCTCAAAGTCGATGAGGACACCAATATATCTGAATATACCAAGTAAATTAACCAGTACAACAATTACAATATTCAATCTGAACTGACATCACTCTTAAATGAACTTCTATATATATGAAATCTTATTGAATATGATTGGTCAGTATGGCATACCTGTTTTAAAAAATCAGTTTATCTACCTATTTACCTGTTCAATGAATGGATTTTGAAATCAATTTATGGTGACTTAATGACACATTAACTCATTGTTTTCGATGTCATTTCAATGAAATGGGTAGTTAGTAAATTCCACTTTATTCAATGTATAGAATTAGAAAGTACCTAAAGATATTTGTAGAACGAATGAGGAGTTGAACTAGATAAAATAGGTAAAAAAAATGTTATGTTAAATGGTTTTCTTGAAAAAATATATTATTTGTTTGTTAGAAGATGATTGACAATGATTCATGATGAATTTCACTAGTTCGGACATCCCCAAAACAACTACAAAAGAAGAATTTGAAATGAATAGTTGAAAATAACAATTATATCAACCAAAAATAACCTGAAATGAAATAATAGTGAAATAAAATACAAGTAAAAATACTCAGTCATGAACCCATTTATCTTTCTTCGACAAAAATCAGTTCAAAGGGTAAGGGAGCTGGGCTCCAACCCGAATGAAATCAAGACGACGTGCAGGAATCAGTCCAGTAATCACCCGAAGACGATTGTAGATACTAACAATCGAAACGTCGTGAACTAACGTGCCTTGGAATCTCCTAACTTTTTATTTTCATTGTTATTTCTTTATTTTTTGCTCAATCGTTCTATTTTTACTTGTATTTTATTTCACTATTATTTCATTTCACGTTATGTTTGCTTAATATAATTGTTATTTTCAGCTATTCATTTTTAATTCTTCTTTTTTAGTAGTTTCAGAGATTTCAAATCATTTTCTATATTAGACAATGGAAGTCGGAACTAGTGAAATTCAAATATATTACTGTTGTTAATCAAACAAGTGTTCAATGTTGATCGTTTATCACTGTTGGAAAACATATTCGGTGTGCGATACATTTGGGTCTTGGAGCCATTTTCTACATGCCTAAGTAAAGGATCATACTCTATAGTTTTCCCTAATACACTACAATAATAATGTAGATGATGTACTATGAACTAAAAATTAATTCGCAAGGTCCCAGGTAGCAGGCATCACTCCACTCTCCTATCTACGGTGTAGATCAGATAAAAATAATAAAATAGTTTGGCGTACCTTAACCTGCGTGAATATTTAAATACCACACCCAACGATTTGGTTCTGTATCTGTAGAGTAGGGAGGGTGAGTGTTCACCCACAGCACTGAGGCCACATGTGACCCATGATACATCCTCCCGAGAAGTTGTCCTCCTAGGTCACCGTCCATTCTGTCCTTTCCAGAAAGGTGGTACATCTTACAGGTCACTAGGCCTGTAGGATGTACCATTATATTGGCAGGTGTAGGCCAAGACTCGCCGAACACACACACTCTCTTTGGCAACCTTGAGGTGTCTCACGGTGGCCTCCGTGAAGGTTTTGGAAGGTGCAGTGACATTACTGCACTTATAGTTGCTGCCACTCCTGCCTCCTTCGCTCTCTTTCTTCTTTTGGCCTCGGCACCGCAAATGCGCTTACGCCTTGGCCTTTGTATTACATCACGAGGTGATCTGCCTCATTCCAAGCGGTAGATTGGGATGGACATTCCTGTTCATCCCCAGCCACCGCCTTAGTTTGAGGTGAGCACTTCTGTCCAGCCTCGGGATTGGTTTTTGTTGGTTCTGTTTTTGTGTTTGTTCCATTCATGTGTGTTCCCACGAGTAGCAAGGAAAGAATTGGTCACCTCTGGCAGAGCCCCGCATTACCAGAGGTATACGGGGCTAATGCGTAGGCTGATCACAATGAGGTTTCGCCCAGTTCCCCAAGAGGATCGTTCGTAACCGAATATCAACCTGCAGCCATTCAGCTGTCGGCACGATTCCTTACACCTTAGCTTGGGTAGGATAGTCCACGGTGGCATGTTTTGCGAAGGCTTTTGGTGTTTTAGTTTCTTAGTTCCCCTCACATTGGCTTCCCGGATAGGGCCTCCAGTCCCCTGGCCGTTCCCCTATCCGCCACCTGGGGTCGCGCCCGATAGGTAGCCCAACCCACGGACAACGATTTAGTTATTTTTTCATCTGATCAGTACCATAGATTGCTAAGGAGAATTGTATTTTTTGAATTACACCTTAATTAATATATGAAAAGTGCCTACAGATAGGTTCGTGTAGAAAAAATATTTAGCTGAACTATTTAGACATAAGGAATTTATGTTGATTTATAGTGAATTATTGATGTGATAAATGTGATTATTGTTTGTTGGATGTCTCACAACATTGCGAATTGGTGAGTTGAAATTATTATCTATTTCATCATCGACCTTCTTTGGACACTTTCACCTTCCAAAATCTGAAAAATATGAAAAATTGTAATGAAGAACTTTATACGAGTGTAGAAAAGGCCAACTTTTCAATTCATTCCGATAAATTAATGTGTGAATTATTTGTAAATTTTTCACAAAGAATGATGTTTTNTGTTCATTTCTGAAGACGGGGGCAGATTTTGGCCTCAGAAACGTTTAGGTAAGTATTGAAAGATTTCTCAGTTCTTTTCTGAAAGGCAAAATCATGCAATACAAGATTACTGCTGAATGGTACATTTTTCTTCTTCACAAATACTTTGAATTGACGCAGGTACTTATCGTAGTAAACTTAAAGTTTGCCCTTCCCGTACTTGTATAAAGTTTCCCGAAACGACACTGTTTCATGATTTTGTCAACCAAACTTTTAAAAAGTAATTACAGTTAAAACACCAACCGTTTGTATATAGCATGCAAACACGCAAAGCTGACAAGAAACAGACTAAAAAAAAATACTTTCGATGTGTGCGAGAACTAAGTACCTGCCTACATCCTATATTTAACCGATACAACTTCGCTGAGGAGTTTGTCACAATATAATAATTATATCAATTCATCTGGGAATACTCGCGATCTCTTTGTATATAATTGTTATTGTGTACAAAAGTTATGAATTTGTCATTCCCCTCTAGTTCGAGAAGATAACTTAAAGATATAGCAGACAGAAATAAAGAAAAAAAGTGGGAATACAATAAAAAAAATTATGCATAATTAAAAAAACATGAATGTAAAAGGTAGTTTCTTGTTTCGTCAATTCGTGTTACGTCACCTAGGGAAATTTTACCTGTTATGACCCATTTTATTCTTGTTTCGTCAACTGCAAAATATACCTGAGCAGAGTATGAGCAAATGACCTAATATAGTTAACGGCTAGCGGGATACCAATGGATGGAAAATATAAATGAGAATTCAACAAATGAAAATAAAACTCACATCTCTTGAATGTCCTCGTCATTTGTCGAATGGGGGATCACATTGTTTATTTCTGCCAACATTTTATTTTTCAGGTACCTGTGAAAAACAACTACAATCAATAAAAGATTGTGTGAAATGATAATACATAACTGAAAGAAAAATCCATATGATGTGCATCTTCTTGGTGACACTCTATGATATATTTTTTGAAATTAAGTACTGGGATGCTCATATTATCAGTTTAGGAATAATCTGGGACTGAAAGAAATATATGTAGAATCATTCAAAAAAAACAAAAAAAATTCAAGAAAAACTGAAGGCTTATGAATGGTAAGGACACCGAGCGAGATCCATATCGGACATAACCTTGAAATTTATCGAGACAAATAGGGGCGGACCTTATTTCCTTCAAACGATCGCGAGAAAACGTTCTGACCGATTCGTCAATTGATGTTTACGAGTAGGAGAGAGAGATGGAGCAGTAGGACGCCAACACTTCTTACATACAATCAACTCAGCAAATGTTATTTTCTTCTCAGCAATACCTTGTTCAGGACTCATGTTAGAAATACTGGAAGGGCATTCAATTTCTAATAATTTATCTTCCTCAACAAGGCCATCTGGCGTTGCTCACAAAAATGGAAGATCCTTGTCAATAAAGAGGCCACAGTTCTTCACTTCTTTATTAAATTTTTCCCTGAATGATTGAATAGCATGGGACGTATATCAGGATATAGTATACTTCTGTACAAAGAATAAAGTTGAGCAATAAGTAAGATCCCATTAATACTTAGCCTAGGTAGTCGACAGCTGGTGAAATAACCTAGGTTTCGTTGAAGAAAGAAAAATACATAATGGTACTGAAATGAATAAAATTGATTCAACAAAACACTGTACGGACTATAGTGTACAATTACATCAATCTAATCAACTTCCAGAACTAAAACAGATCTCAATGAACGGTAGTATGACTCATTTTATGAACTATAAGAGTACTATTTCGAGTGAAAGACTTTGAACAGATCGTACATTGAAATGGTTTTTCTCCAGAATGACTCCTTACGTGAACTTTCAAACTACTAGTAGTTGCGAAAGATGTCAAACATATTTCACACTGAAATGGTCGTTCTCCAGTATGAGTTCGTTCGTGAACTCTCAAATGATGTATTCGAGCGAAAAACTTTGAACAGACTGTACATTCAAATGGTCTTTCTCCTGTATGACTCCTTTCGTGAATCTTCAAATAAGTTTTGTTAGCGAAAGATTTTGAACAGATTGTGCAATGAAATGGTTTTTCTCCAGAATGACTTCTTTCGTGAACTTTCAAATTACTAGTATTAGTAAATGATTTGAAACATACTTCACACTGAAATGGTCGTTCTCCAGTATGAGTTCGTTCGTGAACTCTCAAATGATGTATTCGAGCGAAAGATTTTGAACAGACTGTACATTCAAATGGTTTCTCACCTGTATGACTCCTTTCGTGAACTTTCAAACTACTAATATTAATGAAAGATTTCAAACATACTTTACACTGATATGGTTTTTCATTGGTATGACTTCGCTCGTGACGTCTCAAACTACTAGTATGAGCGAAAACTTTCAAACAGATTTCACACTTGAATGAATTCTCTCCAACATGACTTCTTTTATGGTGTTCCAGATAGTCATGTCGAGTGAAATATTTTGAACATACTTTTCTCTGCTCCAGAACGTCGAAGACATCACTTTTCAGCAACTCAACATCTGGAGTCATGTCGTCATTGTGAATATAGTCAGTAATGTTATCCGCATCCACAATCTCTGTTTTAATATTTTCGTAGACAAGGTCGATTTCATCACCACGTTCAATTTTTATCTGTTCATCAATGTTGTCCATATCATCGTGGTAATCCATAGATAACGGATCAGCAACTTGCAGCAAATTGACATCTTGAGTCATGTCGTCGGTCACGGTATTCTCATCCACGAACTCTGTTTTGATATCTTCGTAGTTGAGGTCAATTCCATCTTCACGTTCAATTTTAATATGTTCATCAATGTTGTCCACATCATTTTGGCAATCCATAGAGTACTGTTAATTCAGTTCAGGAGCGAGTCTACAGAGGAGATGGATGTCGAGTTTACGACTCCAACGAACCTCCCTGTTAATTCAGTTCAGGAGCGAGTCTACAGAGGAGATGGATGTCGAGTTTACGACTCCAACTGACCTCCCTGTAAATTTAGTTCAAGAGCGAGTCTACAGAGGAGATGGATGTCGAGTTTACGACTCCAACGGACCTCCCTGTTAATTCAGTTCAGGAGCGAGTCTACAGAGGACACCAAAACCAGAGGCGAAAAAGCCCCGCACGGCTGAATCTAAGGCATCGTCAGGTGTAGCTGACGTGCAAAAACCCTCATATGGAAAGGTTGTCGAGGGTATCAAGGTGGGAATCTTGCAACTTGACTATTCAACTACCTCATTGACAGAGCATATACTTTGTGCCTGCCCCGCTGGGGACCGAATCAGGTCTTTAGAGTTTGGCAGAGCCGTTCTCCTTTCATCTGACCTGAAAGACTACTCACCATACAAAATAATCGGCTTCGTTAAGAAGCTGGGTTTGTTTGGCCGAGTGAGAATAGGTGTGAGCTACAGTAAACCCTTGCGGGTTGCGGTGGAGGGTCAAATAGACCCACTCACTTTGGACCTAACCTAACCTATAATAAATATCGAAATTTATTTTATGAGTGTTCAGAGTGTCAGCTTCAATTTTAACGACATGATAAAATTAATGCATCCGTCTGGAATAGTCTACATACCTCTTATTCGAGAAAGAGAAAATATCAAAATAACCCTTGCAGTGACATCTGAATATATCAGTAGCAGGCTCACGACATTAGAAATATCGGGAAACAGTCAGTAATTCTTTCGAGCTTATTCGCTGGACATGTAGTGGACGTTAAGAGTACCGGGTTTGGAAACAATTTCAGACTTTCCGATTGGTGGGAATTTTTATGAGATTATTTGAATAACATCCCCTAACAGAGTTAAGGTGGAGTTTTGAAAAAGAGGTGCCAGGTGTTTTAAGACACTGGGTTGCGAGGGGATTCCAGTAGTGAGAAATATTTGCGGTTCATTTGGCTAGTTGACTTGAGATATAATGTCAGGAGCGTACGAGGTCAAAAGTGGGCCACTTGAATTTCCTGCACTCGAATAGAGTGAAATACTGTTTCGAGAAGTGATCTCGATATTTGGGAAATATTCGCGGTTTATTTGCTAGCTGACTTGAGTTAAAAAGTCGGGAGCGTACGAACTCAGAAGTAGGTCGGTTGGACTTCCTACGAAGTTATTTCAATATTCATTATAGGTTAGGTTAGGTCCAAAGTGAGTGGGTCTATTCGACCCTCCACCGCAACCCGCAAGGGTTTATGGTAGCTCACACCTATTCTCACTCGGTCAAACAAACCCATCTTCTTGACGAAGCCGATTATTTTGTATGGTGAGTGGTCTTTCACGTCAGATGGTAGGAGAACGGCTCTGCCAAACTCTAAAGATCTGATTCGGTCCCCAGCGGGGCAGACACAAAGTATATGCTCTGTCAATGAGGTAGTTGAATAGTCAAGTTGCAAGATTCCCACCTTGATACCCTTGACAACCTTTCCATATGAGGGTTTTTGCACGTCAGCTACACCTGACGATGCCTTAGATTCAGCCGAGCAGGGCTTTTTCGCCTCTGGTTTTGGTGAAACCTCACTTGAGCGCAAACGTTTGCTAAACCTGTTCATGGGGGGTTAGTTCCCCCACCTGAGACAGATTCTGCGTACGCCGCAGCTCTCGCTCCTGAACTAAATTTACAGGGAGGTCAGTTGAAGTCGTAAACTCGACATCCATCTCCTCTGTAGACTCGCTCCTGAAATAAATTCACAGTGAGGTCCGTTGGGGTCGTAAACTCGACACCCATCTCCTCTGTAGACTCGCTCCTGAACTAAATTTACAGGGAGGTCAGTTGAAGTCGTAAACTCGACATCCATCTCCTCTGTAGACTCGCTCCTGAGCTAAATTTACAGTGAGGTCCGTTGGGGTCATAAACTCGACACCCATTTCCTCTGTAGACTCGCTCCTGAACTAAATTTACAGAGAGGTCAGTTGGAGTCGTAAACTCGACATCCATCTTCTGTGTAGACTCGCTCTTGAACTAAATTTACAGGGAGGTCAGTTATATATATATATATATCATGCGTATGTGTTTTATATTTTCGAATTGACACCTAGGGTATTGTTGAAAATTTATCATATAGCTACGAATCGAGTTCCCTTTTTCATTACTAGGTTAAAGCATTTTCCTATGTTATACAGGGAGGAGCGATTAAGTGGGTCTCTTAATAGTTTCTCAGAGTGGTATTTAATACAATACCTAAATAGTCTTTCAAAAGTACATATAGTTGCATATGCAGACGATACAAATGTTCTGGTCACTGATTGTAATACATTAGCATTTGCAGAAACAACAGAATCCATATATGAGAAAATAATGAAATGGGCTGAAAAAAATCATTCAGCACTAAATATTAGCAAAACAGCATTAGTCAAATTCACGATGCAGAACACCACCGAAATTCTCAAAATATATAAAGAGGCCAACTAGACGTGACATCCAAACCAGAAACAAATATGCTAGGTCTAATTCTAGTTCATAAGCTGAATTGGGGTCCTCATATAGATTCACTATGTGATAAACTACGAAAGAACTGTAATGCGCTGAGATTTATGTCGAATCATTGTGGAAGAGAGGTGCTCCTAAATCTGTACTATGCAACTAATGGCTGTCACTTGTGCTATGGAATCTTGAATTGGGGTATAAGCTCCTCTTCTGGAAGAGTATTTATATTACAAAAGCGCGCGGTCAGAATAATTGCTAGTTTAGGACCAAGCCATTGCTCTACGAAGATAGAAAGGCAAAAAATTCATCTGTTGACCAAGTCGCCCGCTTATTCTCAATCTGTGTGATCAGGACGGATTTCAAACTTTTTCTGATTTGGGGGCAGCAACTCTCGCGCTATTAAACTAAATTAAAAAATGAATACCTTAGGCTGAACGATCCCATATAAAGGGGGGTGTATTTTTCAGGTGCGAGTATAACTGGGATAATTATTATACAGTGTGGTCCACTTTTTTGTTATCGATTTCTCAGAAAATTTTATTCTTGACAAAAGTTGGTGCATGTTCCAAAACTACACCGAGTATACCTGAAATGGCTTTATGACAAACACCATACAGGATAGGCCAAAACATACAAAGTTCGTTCAAGAGTAAAGTACCCTTATTTAAAAAAATATAGAAGTATGTTAAAGAAAAAACTTGCTTGGAATTGAAAGTTATATTCAGATACATAATTGTTCGCTCATAAAATTCGTTTAATGTAGATCGCAACACATTAGCGGGAATATTTCTGCAATAAACTCGTATTGAAGTTTCAAGCTCATCAACATTATTAAAGGGGCGATATCTGTAGACTTTTTGTTTGTTCAAAACATTTTTGAGTTTATCTGCGACACGAATTCGTGTCACAGTGACGCATTGACGTATACCTATGATTGTCGTTCTTTGTTTTTCGATAATATTAGCAGTCCTCAAGTTTTTTTTCATATAACTTCAAAGAATTCGGATTCCATCCTTTACTTCCTCCGCAATGCTCAATGATTAGTCGCGATCTTTTGTAGGCTTGATAGGCGTACACATTTTCAAAACATCAGTCCACCCTTTCGTAACTGTGTCGTGAGTATCATACCAAGTTTCGTCCGAATAGAAAATTTGCCGTTATTCTTGTCTATATTTAGTTATTCGATAACCAACGGCGATAACCAAAGGCCTTATTCCCCGATTTCTCTTCGTCACCGTAACATGACTTCAAATTTAATTTCATCTCGGTTAGTAAAAATTATCCAATTCGAACCGCCAAGTCTACAGTCCACGTGGACTAGTTTGCTGCCGGTTCATTTCTATGTGTTGGTTATTTTGGCATTCGAGGGTGCCGATAACTTGAGAGTGCACATTATAGGTTACTTCTACTATACATGTAACTACATCTACATCACAAGCGGAGATTACACATAATATAAACATTTCCATATTTACGTTATCAACTTTAACTAAAAATGTCAAATGTCATATCACAAATATCAAACTCAGTCACAAATTATCGGAACTATCGGTGTAAGAGTCTTACAGTAAGACACAATCCAAGGAACCGCTGCCAGCGGCACCAGACACTCAGTCTACGCCAACATTGCCAAGGGTACTCGGCTCGTATAACGCGGTAGATTCAAAATCAAACCTCAAATATTAGTTCATTGTTTCAATTTTTATTTTATATTCTTTTGTTTTATACCTGAGCGGGGTAGATTTACTTGAGGGGAGCGTGAGGGTGAAATCAAGTTCAAGAGGGGTAGAACTACCCCGTACGGGGTAGCTGTGACAACAGTGTGAGCAATATACGCATCTATAGTCCGTTCATAATTTGTTGATAGCTCACTGCAAGTTTGACCCTCATTAGAGAACTAAAATACAGAGAGGACAGCTAATATGATATAATAACAAAAACCAAACTAAAACTGGCAGTTTAAGATGTTTTCGACTAACCCACCTTGTATCTGAAGAAATACAATACAGCTATAAAACTTTTAATCCGATTATGTAGGTATTTTGAGTGGAAATGAGTGACCAGTGTCGTAGAGTATATGATTAAAACATTAGTTACTTTAAATAAATAAATATATTAATATTCTTAAACTGTAGGTACTGTAAACTGTATTTTTATTT